GCCTCTCCCTAAACCTTCAGCCACCTGCACTGGAGGTGAGCCTTCCCAGTTTCACCACTGCCATGCCCGATGACCCTGTGCCAGGACTCTTCAGTCTCCTGTCCCTTAGCCCTGCTGTGGTCCTCCCTGTTTGCAGACAGGGAAGCTGAGTCACAGGCATTAAGTAGTTGTAGTTGTCATGGCAGTGCTGGACTCAAATCCGGGTCTTCCTGCCGGTTCTCACAGGCTGTCCCCCTCTGGCTCAGGGTGCCCTAGTTGTAAGCCAGGAGTGGGGCCAGTGGGCCAGGAGGCTAGGTCTGACGCCTGTGCTGATCACCATGGCAACTGGAGCACAGCCAGCGCCTCTGCCAACGGAAGTGGGAGCCGGGCTGTGGGGCAGCCCTGTCCACGTGCCCCACGTCCAAGGAGGAGGCACAGGCAGGCGAGGCAGCAGGGATTGCCCTGTCATATGCCTGGTAGCCCTGAGGCCCCTCCTGGGGGCCACACAGGCTCAGAGACCCAGGCCTAGGGCCCTAAACCCTCAGGATGTCAGAGGGCAGCTGGGGTGTCTGGAAGGACTGAGTTTGGGTCCCAATCCACCTCATACACCACCCCAGAGACACCCTCTTCCCGTATATGGGTGAAGCCTTGTCACCCCCTGGGGCCATGTGGTCTGTGGGAAACAGCTGGGCATTGCGCAGAGCTTGGCAGGGGCTAAGCCCAGAATACACTCTTGTCTCCTGTCCCATTTTACAAATGGAGAGAGTGAGACTGCCGGTCAGGGGCGCTCCTGGTCCCAGAGTGAGCCAGGTGAGAACTGCGCTCTCAGGACTTGTCCAGACTAGCAAGGAGTCCCATTTCCTGTAAATGCCAGGGCTGCTGTCATCTTTGACAAGCAACCTCCGCTCTGAGAATGTGCCTGGCTGAGACACAAAAGCCCCCAGCGCCTGTTTATTGATGCAAAATAGACCGGCAGCCCAAGTCCACTAGTGAAATGAATCACAACGGTCATGTTTAGAGTGTCTGTTGCCTGCCAGGTACAGAAGAGCTCACAGCTATTCACCCTGTAGTCCTCCCAAAGTTGTAGGGTGAGGTAGGTAGTAGAATTTCCACTTTACAGTGAGGACAGCGAGGCTCAGGCAGGCTAGGGGCTCACCCAGGGCACACAGTGAGCACCAGCAGGGCGAGGGCCACACCCTGGCCCCCTGACCCCTCGCCCACACCACGGACAGCGCACGTGCGCAAGCAGCAGTGGGGCTGCGGGGACTGGTGGCCAGGCGTCCTGAAGGAAAGGAAGTGAACTGCAAAACTACAGTAAAGAACAAAATGCTCGAGTTTGCCGCCTCTGACCGGAAGGCAGACCCAGGCCTGGGCTAGGGCTTTCACTTTCTATGTTGGCTATGTCTGTCTGTCTGGATTTTCTTTTCATAACTTGTAGTGTCCTTTTATTATAAAATGTACAAATACATTTTAGAATCTGTCGTGCCCCTCAGCTAACAAGTCCCCCTGCCGGAGCCCAGTGTCCCAGCCTCTCCGGAGCCCATTGCTGGGCCTGGGCTTGGTTTTTGTGTGTGACGTCTGTTTCCCTCTAGAGGGCAGGTTGGGCAGGGCCCCACACAGTGGGGAGGGGTCCTAAAGCCAGCTAAAAATAGTAGCCCTGCCCACTGGGAGGGTGGCCCCAGGGGGTACCCTTGTGCTCTGCCTCTGTGTTTATTCAAGACTCGGAGAGTCACGCTACTGGCCCAGTGGTCACACAGCCGGGAGAGGTGGGGCCCGAGGCAAACCCAGGCTGAGCTCTCTTCCAAGCCTCGTGGGGCACTCCTCAGCCATGGCCCCTGCCTGCTGAGCACCCTGAAGGCCTCTTTGCCCTCTGTGCCAAGTCAAGCTAAGTGTGAGCAGGTGATCCCATCCTGATGCCATTTGTTCATTTGTACATTTAACTGTCTATCCATCCACCATCCACCTATCCTTCTATCTGCCCATCTGTCCTGTCTGCCCATGCCTCCATTCATCTGTCCGTCCATCCACCCATCCACCCATTCTCCCATCTGTTCAGTGACTCATTTTCTCATGCATTTATTCACCCAGCCTCCCAGGGTGCCTGCCCTGTGCTGGGTGCTGTGGGCTCAGAGACAAATCCAGTGTAGCCCTGCCTGCCAGCAGCTCACAGCTGGCTAGGGAGCCGTTGAGACCTGTACAAAGCAGCCTAAACCGGGAGGTGGCATGTTTTCTGGTTTTGCTGTGGAGAAGGGTGGAGCTGGAGCATGTTTGTTCAGGAGACAAAGGGCAGGTGAAACTTGGCTGCAGTGACTGAGAAAACACACTTGCTTCAAATGTCACCTTCTTTGGCTGGCCTTTCTGATGCTGCCCCTAACGTGCCTCACCCCCTCCCTAATCTGTTTCTCTCCCTGGCACTTCCTGCCATTTGGCTGACTCTGTATTTTGGTTGGTTGTCCTGTTGGTTGCCTGTCTCCCTCCCTATAACACAGGATCCACAGGGCAGGGCCTTTTGCCCATTGCTTATTGCTGTGGGACGTGCCATGTAATGGGCATGCGGTGTTTGTTGCAGGGCTTGGGGACAAGGCTGCTCTCCGGGAGGGGACGATGCAACAGGGGGCGAGGCAGTCGGAGAGCAAGAATGGATCTGAACATGAACGTGTTGCCTGACCGCAAGACCAGGTGCCTCACTGTTTCCCCTGGGGGATGGGGAAAGGCATCCAGGGATTTCCCAGGTTCCTTGCTCAGGTGCCATAAGTGGGGTAGATGGACACTTGGTAGGAAACACAGGGCTAAACAGTCTCTATTCTTTCATTTAGACAACACGCTTCAAGCTTCCTCATCACCCAAGGTACTGGCCTCTCTAGTGTAGCATCTGCAACTGAACTCAAATCCTAACTTTTGTTTTGCTAAGAACAGGTCTGTTACCTCCTTCCTTCTTGAACCTACGCTCCTATTAATGCAGTCTTAGCATTTGGCTGTCACTTCCACAACGACACACCTGGACACACCAGCAAGTGGCCACAGATGGGAGGCAAGTACTGTCCTCATTTGGAGGATGCAGAATAGAGAGGCCCAGAGAGGCCCAGGAGCTTGCTCGAGGTCTCAGAGCTGGGATGAGTGGCAGAGCTGGGATTTGAACACAGACAACCTGGCTCAACCAGATGCTGAACTGCATCTCTCTAAAGGCCAGGACAGGCATCAGGACTGGCCTTGGACAGGGTGGCATCCTGCCTTTTGTACTCTGTCGTGGCAGCTGCCACTGCCAACTTGTGTCCACCACTCACACCACAAATAGCTGGGCAGGCAGGGGTGGGTCTGTGCCTCCATCAGCACTCAGTCTGTTCAAGGCCAGCCTGCAGGTCTGTGTACCAGAGGACAGGAAAACAAATGAACACCCGGTCCCTGCCCTGAGGGCCACCTGGGCAAGGCTGCCCAGATGCTGTGAGGTCATGCCTACCCCCTTCCCCAGTCCTGCTTTTCTGGCCAGTGAGATGCTCATTTTGTGTGACCCTGAGCAAGTGCATGCCCTCCCTAAGCCTCAGTGTCCCCATGGCACCTTCAGGGCTGCAGTGTGGGTAACATGGGGCCATGTGCTGAACCCCTCTGAGGACTCACTGGGTTGATGGTCGTGAGGGCAAAGCTTATGGGCATCAGGGTCCAGCCCTTGGCATCCGAGAGGGGCTGGTTGTTCCAGGGTGTTTGGCAGTCAAATCCAGCTCTGCCACCTGCATGGCCTTGGTCAAGTCCCCTTTCTGGGCCTCAGTGGCTCCATATGCAAATGGGGGCCATCAGCCCTGCCTCCCAGGGCTGTGACGAGGCCCCCATGAGCTTGGTAAACTGTAAAGTGGGGGGCGGGAGGACATTGTTTACAGTTACTGCAGGTGGCAGCAGCTCCAATCAGGAGGGCCCTGGCTTGGTTAGAGGCCAGAGCAGTGGCCCTGGCCCCCTGGGCCCTGGTAATGGGCCCCACAGGGCTCTGACCCCCTCCCTCAGCCCTTGCTAGGCACTGGGTCCGAGCTGCATACTGGGGACTCAGCAGAGGCAGACCTGGACAAGGCCCTGGGGGTGTGGGGAAGCCGGATGTGGGTGCAGCAGGGACAGTGTGGCCAGGGCGGTGTGAAGGGCGTGAGCAGACGTGAGCCGTGACTGGTGTTTGCACTGGGCCCAGGAGAGTTCATCCCCTGCCACAGCCACTGGCCCCTCTCCCTCCCTGGCAACCGGAACTCAGAAGGGGGCTGGCTGGGTCTTACCGGCTTCAGTGCTTTCCCAGCTCAGAGAGTGTTTGTGGGCTGAACTAGTGAAGGAGCCCTGAGGGTTCCCCATGCAGGAGTGATTCCAGGGGAGCTGGGGAGGTCCAAGGACTCAGAAAAGCCTTGAGCTTGGACTTGGAGGGACAGGGACATCACAGCCCCGTCCGTGGACCTCCCCAGGATGTATTTGGACATGGCCTGGAGCCCAGCCCCATCGTCAGCCACCTTCTGTGGCCTCTCACACACTTCCCGACACCTGGGTCCTGAGGGCACTGGGACAAGGGTCCTTTGGGGGCTGGGTGTGGGGGAGTCCAGCCGCCTGGGGCCTGGCTGAGGGCACTGGCCTGCCTGCTTTCCGGCATGGCCTCTGCCTTCAGGGCCACTGGTCAGCAGGCTCCTGTTTCCCATCCCCTGCCCCCCACCACAAGTATTTAAGGTCTGAGAGGCGTGGACTTGTTGTTGCCGAGGCCACCCCAGTGGTGGCACAGAGGCTCTCAGGCAGGCAGACCCAGGGCCTTCCCCACCCACGTTGTCCATGGATTTTGTTGCTGGAGCCATCGGAGGTAACAGGGCCAGGCCTCGCAGGGGACTGCTGCTCCTGGGGGTACCAGGAGGGGCTGGAGGGGGCTGTGCCCTGGGGGTAGCCTTCTGACAGCAGTGGGGTTCAAGGAGGCCCCTGGCAGTGGCCTGGGAGGAGAACCGGGAGACTTGGGGCACAGGGCCCGGGAGGAGGGGAGGCGGGTGAGCCTGCACGGGCCTGGGGGCTCCGCCTGTGGGGACCCTTTCGGGGCAGAGGATGGCCTCTGCCTGGGCCAGGGGAGACCTGGCATCATTGGTGTGGGGAGGGATGGCTTTGCTGTGGGAAGGAACTGGTGAGAGGCCTCAGGGGAGGGTGGACAGTGAGGACAGCTGGGCCTGGGTCCTCCCCCCCCCCACACCGACTGGAAGGAAAGATCCTGCCCAGCCTGGCCCCGCCTGCCTGCTGGCGGTGTGCCCACCCAGCCAGTCCTGCCCCTGCTGGGCTCCCAAACTGTTTTCCCCTTTCAGAAAGGGCTGGTTGTGAAAGACTGATCCGGAGAGATAAGCGGCCCATTGGCAAACAGGCGCTGCCCCTCCCAGGCCATCGATCCCCCAGGCTGTTTTGGGTGTTGTGCCCGTGGCCTTGCTTGTCTTTGAAACGGCAGTGGGCTGCGTGTGGACGCTCCTGGGAACATGTGGGTGTCCTCCTCAGGAGGGGAGGGCAGCATCCAGCTGGAAAAGACCAGGAACCCAGCCTTACCAGTGAGCTTCTGGGGTCCTACTATGTGTTAGACCTGGCCAGCTGCTTCTGGACCTTAGCCCCCTAAGGAGGAGGCTCAGAGAAGGGGCTTGACTTGCCCAAGATCACATAGCCAGGAAGGGCTCCTGTGTGCATTTTTCCCAGAGAGCCCACAGAAGGTCTGGGTGGAAAGGGCCCTTGCTTTGTGCCTGACCTTGGATGGCAGGGATTAGACATGGTCTTGGCCTTGAGAGCAGGTTCTGGAGGCAGAGATGGTAGCAGTAAGGCCATGTGACAGGGGCTCTGATAAGTATGTTTTCTGACGCAGAGGCAGCCCAGATACAGCATCAGGGAGGGCTCCAGAGAGAAGGTGATGTTGTGGCAAGGCTTTGATGGATGAGTAGGAGTTTGGTGAGGTCTATGTGAGGGTGAAGGAGGGTAATTCAACACAAGTCAGTCAGTGGGTCCTTTGCTTCACTCCCTTTACTCATTCATTTGTTCATTCATGCATATTTATTGAGTCCTGAGATGTGTAGTAAATAGGGCACAGCCCCCAAGTGCCTTCTTACCTTTGGATGATGCTCAGCCCCCAGTCCCATCCCCAGGGTGTGAAACCCCAGGGACATGCCCGCTCACTCTCCCGCTTCCCCGTGGCAATGGTGGGCTTGGACATCGAGGCCCTGGTGTCAGGAGGAGGGAAACGAATAGGATGGAGGCACCTGGCCTTGCAGGGACAGAGGGCCCTGGTCCAGGAAGCCTCAAGTCCCACGCAAACCTATGGTTCCAGGCAGCCCTTCAGGAACCTGGGGGTGACCAGGTTTCCCACCTCCTGACCTGGCTTGGGCTGTGCCTGCCTTTCCCCCACCCACTCAGTGGGAGGCAGACCCCCTCCAGACTGGCTTGAGGGCAAGGTGGCTTGGCTTGGAGACAGGGCCCAGCAAGCACTGGACCAGACATTCCCCCAAAACATGATACTGGAGGCGAGGCAGAGGACCATCCTTGGCTTTCAGATCGAGGCACCACTGGGTCAAGAGCTCAGGGTAGAAATGGCCAGCTTGAGCCTCTGCTTCCTCATCTGTGAAACTGGGGTGGGTCAGGATGGATGGGACCCGGTGTAGACGAGAAGAGAGGGTGTGGGTCCGCTGCCTGGGGCGCAGGCGGGATTCGCACTCCTCCTCCTGCGAGGCAGGCTCAGGGCAGGCCTGCTCCCTCACCGGGCCCCTCTGGCTTCCTTGCAGGCATCTGCGGCGTCGCTGTGGGCTACCCGCTGGACATGGTGAAGGTGCGGCAACAGCCAGGCCCCAGCCGCCCCGCCGAGGCTCCTGCCCGGACTCAGGCCGCCCTCTGAATCTCCTGCACTCCGTTCATGGCCAGAGACCTGCTAGCATGCTTATCAGACCCAGCCCTTCCCACGGCCCTAGTGGCTGTCAGAGGCTCTTTCTCATCCCTGTGCCTAGGGCTCAGCTCTGAAGGGGCTCACTGCACCTGCTCCACCCACAGGCAGCATGGCAATCAGGGGGTTGGCTCTTCCCTGCCCCAGGGCTTAGCTGACCTTGTCCTGGGCCTGGAGCCACCCTTTCCTGAAGGCCACTTCTCCCACAGGTCAGGATCCAGACGGAGCCCAAGTACACGGGCATTTGGCACTGTGTCCGGGACACGTATCGCCAAGAGCCGGTATGCCTGGGACCAGGGTAATGGGCAGGGGGATGTCAGAGCCCCGGACACCTGGCCTGCCCCTTACCAACCAGCCAGATGTCCAGCCTCTCAGTGGGCCTCAGTTCTCTCACCATCCAAGTGGGAATAACTGTAACAGCCACCTGGGTTCCTCTGAGGCCGAGAGCCAGGGCGTCTGGCACATAGGAGGCGCTCAGAACAGGGTCCTGCTTCCAGGAGAGGGTCTGGAGACATCAGCCAGGGGCAAGCAAATGGAAAATAGTGACAATAAAGCAGCTTCATCAGGCAGCTGCCCTAGGTCGAGCCTGGCCCTCTGTCCTCAATTCCTCAGCACAGCCTCCCAAGTTGAGTATTAGGACCCCCATTTTACAGCTGAGGAAACAGAGGCCCTAGGCAGAAAGAGACTTGCCTGAGGTCCTCCCACGAGGGAGAGAGGAGGTAGGGCCCCTCGGGCAGCCGCTCCTGCCGGCTGGGCCTCTGGCCTGACTCAGGCCCTCAGGTCCCATCCACTCGCTCGCCAGGTGTGGGGCTTCTACCGGGGCCTCTCGCTGCCCGTGTGCACCGTGTCCCTGGTCTCATCCGTATCTTTTGGCACCTACCACCACTGCCTTGATCACATCTGCCGGTTCCGGTACGGCAGAGCCGACGCCAAGCCTGCCAGGACAGACGTCACGCTCTCCGGGTTTGCCTCTGGCCTTGTCCGTGTGAGTGGGCTGGGGTGGCTGGTTCCCGGGACCTCAGGGTACTGAGAGGCCACCAAGCTCAGCAGGAGGGGAAACTGAGGCTCAGCAAGGGCTGTGTGGGTGAGGGCTCTGACCCTCATGAGCTGTGGGACCTAGGGCAGGCTAGGGAGCCTCTCTGAGCTTCTGTCTCTTCATCACCAAGGTGTGGTGAGGACTGAGTGAGGTCATGAGTGTAAAGCCCCCAGGGTGGAGTCTCAGAAGTGAGCAGCCACAAAATGGCAGCCAATGTTGTTAGCTATGTTATCACGTTATAAAATTCTTACACTCAGTGTTTCCATGAAATACTTACCGTAATTAAATAATACATTAACATTCATTAATATATTCGCCATGTGATTAGTACTTTCAGAACGTGAGCCTGGGATCGTACCTAATGCCCATGTGCGTCAGGCCTGCTCTGTGTGGCTGATGAAGGCACTGGCTCTGGCTTGCCTGGCAGAGCTGGCTTTAAACCCTGCTGCACATGGCTGGCTGGGGTGCCAGACTGCAGCTTCGTGGGACCAGGCTCCTAGATGGGGCCGAGGGTGACGGGAAGCTAAGAGGCAGGTCTGGGGTGTGTGGCAGAGCTGCTGGCACCCCCTCATCCCTTTGCCCTCCACTCCAGGTGTTCCTGACCTCACCCACTGAGGTGGCCAAGGTCCGCCTGCAGACGCAGACGCAGCAGCAGCGTCCCTCGGCATCGTGGCCCTCGGCTGTGCCCATCTGTGCTGCGCCCCCTCAAAGTCCAGCGCTTGCACCCAAGTACCGCGGGCCACTGCACTGCCTGGCCACAGTGGCCCGTGAGGAGGGCCTGCGGGGTCTCTACAAGGGCAGCTCAGCCCTGCTTTTCCGGGACAGCCACTCCTTTGCCACCTACTTCCTCTCCTACGCCATCCTCTGCGAGTGGCTCACCCCCACTGGCCACAGCCAGCCAGGTGAGCAGGGCTGGGGCCTGGGGAGGGTGCAGGATCAGCCCGGTGGAATTGCAGCTGGGAGAGGAGCTGCAGATAGGTGAGGCCGCACACACCCAGTGCCCTCAGCCCTGCTCCGTGTGGCCCTGCACGTGTCACGTGGGTGGCGGGAGCCTAGGACTCCCCTCAGCTATGCCCACCGCCCTCCACTGGGGCCCCAGGGTGCCTCCCAGTCAAGGCACTGTGGCTCTCTCTGCAGGTGTCTCGGGTGTGCTGGTGGCCGGTGGCTGTGCAGGGGTCCTGGCCTGGGCCGTGGCCACCCCCATGGACGTGATCAAGTCGCGCTTACAGGCAGATGGACAGGGCCAGCAGCGCTACCGAGGCCTCCTGCACTGTGCGGTGACTAGTGTGCGGGAGGAGGGGCCGCGTGTCCTTTTCAAGGGGTTGACACTCAACTGCTGCCGAGCCTTCCCTGTGAACATGGTGGTCTTCGTCACCTATGAAGCCGTGCTGAGGCTCACCCGGGGCGTGCTCACATAGTGGTCCCCACGTCCCAGGGGCCAACCTGCCAGCAGCTGCCAGAGGTCATGGTAGCTGGAGGAAGTGAAGGGGCATGTGGGGTCTGGGCCCATGGGGCCATCACCCAGGACAGCTGGAGCTTCCCTGAGGCCTGAGCTTGGCCTGCCCAGTTCCAGACCACAAGCAGGTCAAGGGGACCATCTGCCATCAGCCCGGGGCTGGCCCTGAGGGTCACGAGCCAGGGAGGAGTGGGTCTCCTGGATGAGGAATCCATCACGTGCAGGCATCTGGGCATTTGGTCCTTGGTTCATTCCAGTTTCCCTGTCGCCTCTGCCTGCCACCCTGTGACCTCAGAGCAGCCCTGCGCCTGCACCTCCACCTGTCTCCTCGGCGGCCTGCTCAGCCAGCCCCTCCTCTTGCCCCCACTCAGCTCTGCTGCTATTGAGTGGGCTTCATGCTGGTCCCTTAGACGCAGCCAACAGGCCCTGCCAGAGGGGACGAGGTGCAGCTGCCGGGCTCCTGGCCTGCTCATTCCTGCATAGGCTGCTCAGAGGTGCCGCTGGGACAGCCGGCGAGCTGGGTGGGCTCTGGTCACCCACCCTCGCTCTGCTTGTAGGCCCTGCGGAATCAGTGGGGAGCTCCTGCCAATAAAATGTTTCTGAGGATGTTCAGGGTGTTGCTCTGTGGTCTGAGGGGCTTATGACTGGTTTCCCCACTTCCCACTCATCCTGAGGCCAAGCCCTCCAAACCTGTGTGGCCAGCACTCCCACTGTGCGGGTGGGCCCACTCCGGTCCAGCACAGTGGCTGGCTCCCCTCCCTTGGCCTAGTGGGTGCAGAGTCCTGCCACAGGGGTTTTTTCAGCGCTCAGCACCTTGCCTGCCCTCCTCACCACCCTATTCTAAGTGAAACTGGGCTCCAGCCAGCTGCCCTGGCGTCTCCACTCTCCGGACACGTGGCTTTGAGCCGCCTTTCCATGCAGGCCCAGAGGTGGGAGGAGGAGGTGTTATTATGTCCTGAACACTGCGGGGTGCCTGGTACCCTACACAGATCATCACAACAGCCTGATCCAAGTGAGGAAACAGCTCAGAGTGGAAGCCTGCCCAAGGCCATATGGGGTGGGGGTGGGAATGGGGATGCAATAGACATGCACATGAACTTCTGAGGTCCCAGCTGTCTCCCTGGCACCATGTGGCTTCCAGTGATGGGGGTTCTTGGGGGCCCGGGCTGACAGGTCCAGCAAAAGCCTTATGGGTCCTCATAGCAGCCTGCACCTGCTTCACCTGCACTCACTCAGACACTGGTCTTGACAGTGTCTTGGACCGACGGGAGCTCCAGTGTTCTGGCCAGACAACACTCTCTCCCATCTCCAGAACATGTGGACGGGCCCTCCCCTCCCGGCCTATTCCTGTCACACTGACCCAAGTATTTCCTTATATCCTGTGATCTCTGCCATAAACCCCCTTCCCCTCCTCTGCTTGGCAAACTCAGCAAACCAGGCATCACCTCCTCCAGGAAGTTCCCGGGGCCTGGGCACCAGGTTGCTTTTAGGTGTCTCTGCTTTCCTCCCACAGGGTCCTGGTTCATCGCCTGGCCACTCATCTTCCCCCTTGGCCTACTGCACGCAGGGCTGAGCCGCCAGGGCACCGCCTGTCTGATTTGGATCACGTCCAGCTCGGGCCTGGCACACAGGTTTCTGGGGGTGAGGAATGAATGAGGCAGTGAATGCAGTCCTGCAGTACGCTCCTGGAGGTTCATCCAGCGTAGTTAAAGACACTGAGATGCTCTGGCAAGGTGCTGGGAAAAGGCTATCAGCGAACAAAAGGTCTCAGCAGTTCATCAAACCCGGCCTGTGTCCGTTCTGGGAAGACCACTAGAGTACCCGCTTGCTCGGGCCTTGGGAGGAGTTACTGGCAGTTCCAGAGGAGAGCCTGGGGAACTCCCGGCTCTGCTGGCAGGGATGGGGAGGGTGGGGCCCAGTGGTCACTGAGCAGTTGGCCCTGCCTGTGCAGGGAAAGTGGCTTTGCAGGAAGGCCCAGTCCTCTCCAGGCCCTCTGATCCAGCCCCCCCTTTAGAAATGGGAGGGAGGGAATGCGGAAGAGAAGGGTCGGGCTGGCACTTCCACTAGTGGGGCCGTCTGAACAAAGTCCAGGCTGCACTTGAAGTTGCAAATGGGAGATGAAGGGTGGCCACCCAAGGGCGTCTACAGCTGTGTGCAGACCAGGGATCACAGGGCCCCTGGGAAGGGTGCATCAGCGCCATCCTGGGAGAGCTGCTGCTGCCGCTCTCACTCTGCAGCGCTGTCCTGCACAGCGCGCTCCTTCCGACCGCTCCGCCTTTATCTCCCCACTGCTACCCAGTGCGCGCTGGGACGTGACCCTGCAGCCGCAGCTCCCCCGGCCTCCCCAGGGACTTGGGGCCAAGGCACAGCAGGTAACGTGTAGACAGGGCCCTTCTCACCCCTCACACCTGCTGGGCTACTGCACCAGTCCATCCTAATCCAGATCTTCTGGGATCCCCTTGAGAACCCAGTAGTTTTTAGAAAATTGTGGGGGTGGGAGAGTCTGTGGCTCTTACCAGCAGTGGCCTTGGTCACCTGACCTCTGACCCAAGGCACTGCTCCCCAGGTCCGAACACGAGGTGTGGTGCTCATGTTCAGTAGGGGGAAACACTCTCCCGGCGGTGGGGCTGCGGCTCTGCTGCCCTGGGATATCACCTGTGGTCTGGAATTTTACCTGCACCCTGGGAGATTGCTTCTCAAACATACAGCAAAGCTTTAGCAAGTGATTCCCCTATTTTTTGGGCATAGGCTGCAACATGTCTTGTGCCCATTAAACTTCCCACATCAGCTTTTCAAAGCACTTTTTAGTTTTCTGATGACATTTTGATTCCAGATGTGCACACACAGACTATGTAAGCTTTTACACAGGTTTTACAGCAGGTTTTAGGAATGTGTTTGGAACCGGAGGCTGCTTTCAAATGAAGGCGTTCTGGGGATGAGGACAGGTTGGCTGTGGACAGCTAGCCCAAGCCACCAAACGTGGGCTGCTGGGAGACTCTGGCGGACTTGCCTATCCAACCAGGTGATGTCACCCAGCACCCAACCTCCCCACAGGTTTTTGGCCACAAGGGACAGAAAGGATGACATTGCAGGAAAAAACAGTACTGATACATGCCCAGAGCTGACAGATATCAGGCTGGTAATTACCATGTGACAGAGTTGAAGGGCGGTGATTGACAGGGCTGGGATTATGGCAGAATTACATGTCTTGTGTGCGCAGAAACAAAGAGCATTACTTAAAGTCATAGGACAGCGCCCGGGGAGTCATGAACTCCTTCACTATCTTGTCTGTGACCTCCTTTCGCCGGGCCTGGTGCTCTGCGATCAAGGGCTGCAGGACCTCTATGAGAGTCTTCTTGAGCTCGCCGGTGAGCATGACTCCATTGGTGTAATCCTGCCGGAAGGAGACGCACACTGGGCCATCGCAGCGCCCCGCCCCGAGGCGTGCTAACCTTAAACCACGCTTTTCTTAAAGTGGCTAGAACCCAGCTCCAACAATGGCTACCATCACCCTATGGCAGTGAAGGGAACAGGGGAGGTGGACCCCAGCCCACCCTCCTTACTGGGTTGCAGAACTCCAAGCACACTGAATAAATGATTGCTGCCTTCAGCCATACTAGCTTCTCTAAAATCCTTGTTGAATCTTTTTTTACTTTCTGATTGTGAAAGTCGTAGGAATTCATTCAGCAAACTTAATAAGGTACCCAAAGAATAAAGTCACCTGCAGAGGTTGAGGGCCTCTGTGAACTTTCTGGCATGTTTTAGATTTCTTTCCTGGTGCAATTAATTTAAATCTCTCTGCATTTCCAATGTGGTACCTTTTCCTGCTGCCATGGGCACATCATCCTGTCAGTGGAACCTCATGCCTGCATAAGAACCCCTCCTGTAACAGTTCTGAGTTACTAACATTTCCTTTGTGGGGCCATCTGTTCTGAACTTCTGGCTACTATCATTTCCAACATCTTTGTATGGAGGGCTCTTTCTTATTCAGGATTACTTCCTTGGAAAAGATTCCAAGAACTGGAAAACCTGAGGTGAAAGCTATGAATATTCTTTGGGCTCTTTGTACCTAACTGCGTTAGAGGTCAGGCTCGGATCCCTCCACTGTCCTGGGTGTGCCTCGAAGCACCTGGTTTTCGGTCACTGCACACACAGCAGAAGGCAGCCCTGCTAACTCAGAAGGGGAACTGTTCTAACTTCCACGATGTCTTGTTTAACTTCTTTTTCTCTGATGACTGGTAAGGTTGAACCTTTTTGTGAGGCTACTAAAGAGCCGTTTTTATCTTCTCTTTTGTGAACTATCTGCTTGTGAGGTTTCTTGGTACACAGTTAAAAACACGATTGACCTACTCAGTTTTAATCTCATCTCAATTGACCACCTGCTCCTAAGGCTCAGGCACCAGGGAAGCTCTGACCACCTTAGATAAGACTGCCAGAACCTTCCAGGTCCTGTGAGAGCCCCTTGGGAGTGGCTGGGACCTGGGGCCTCCCGTCTTACCTTCTTGATCTGCTCCAGCTTGTCATCATCCTCGAGGAAGAAGGTCAGGTACATGAAGGACACATCCACGTCACAGTTGCCCCCAAACTGCCTGTGCTCCTCGACGGTGTCTCTGCCCCCGGAAAACGCATGCTTGTTGACCTGCACCGGCAAGAGGACACAGAAATGCTAGTTGCTCCTGGCCACCCTGCGTGTGGACACTGGCTGGGAGCCGCGTGGTCAGGCCACTGACGGCTTTCTGCCCGGTCTGGTCCTGACCATAGGAAGGCTGGAGCTCACGGACGGTGGGAGGAGCCCCACACACTGCCCCTTCCCACCACGCTTGGGTAAGAGCCGCAGCGGGGCTCACTACTGCAGAGGTGGGGGGATCAGCTTTGACACCCCCACTCCTCAGACACACGGGCTGGAGCTGGGAAAGCCAGAGAACTCGCTGTGCTCAAGTCTGGGGGAATGTCCTACGGCACTAGCAGGGGAGCAGCTTCATGAAGGAGGAGGCCGAACACACAGAGTAAGGGAGGACCGGGGCAGGTGCGCTGCTGGCAGGGCAGGAGGGCGGCCGCACCTGGCAGCACCTGGCCCCGCCTGGCTGCTGCCGTCTCCACGGCTGCAAAGAGGACGGGAAGTGCAAGAGTAAGGCCGGAGACTGGCATCAACACAAAATGTGCGGAGGGACACGGCATGTGAGCAGGGCCCCGCCTAAAACTGCAGCCCTGCAGCCCAAGTCAGAGAGACTGAGAAATTCACAGAAAGGCTTTCAGGAATCACTGAAGATGATCTTAGAGGAATGAGGTGAGAGAAGAGCTAAAAAAGATAAAGTTCCTTCAACGTTCTTTCAACACATACTTGAGAAACCTACTGTTGTCACACATCAACCACTTTCTTTTCACGGGGAAAGGATGGGCAGAGTCAATAATTTCTAGGTTAAGACGTTCACTGAATCTCCCCAGAAGGACTCCAGAGCAGATTACGAACAGGACACTTTGGGATCTCCTAGAAGGCAGTGGATGAATGTCAGGGGCAGAGGGTCCAGGCACGAGTGAGGTCGGAGAAACCCTCTCCTGGTGGGTACCATGAGTGCTGTGCAGGGAGAGCGGACGCTGCCCCAGATGCAC